CTTGAAGTTTTACTTTTGCGGAAACCTTGTTTCCAAAATTGCACTACTCTACACATTTCTCTGTGGATTTTATACGCGATGCTCCAGCTAATACCGTATTGGCCCGAATATAAGCCGCACCTTTAATGCACGGGGCAGGCACTGCTTTGCCATGTTCCTGGTTGCATACCGCAAGGTTGTGAATATAAGCTGCACTTTAACTTTTCACGGTTGGAATTTGGGGGGGAAAGTGAAGCTTATATTCAAGCCAATACAGTAATTGCCTGGGGACATTTTTCAGGACCTATCCACCTGCAAGTGGGTCACTTTGTGAAGCAGTTCCACACAAATTAGTGACATTTTTGCAACAGGACAAATGGCCAGAGAGAAGGGCTCTAATGACAGACAGAGTGGTAGAAGAAAATTTGGGGAAGATGTGCATTGGCATAGTGTTGATTTACAACCACGTCACAGAAACATGGAACAATAATTGAATATGCTTTAAAAAAAAAAATTACAGAAGGAACAATGGTCTCCCATTATATAATAACAAGATTCAGGGAATCAAGGTATTGGATAATGGAGTTGCCTGCTTGCTTAGCATTTTCACTGCACATCTCCTCCATCTCCATCCTTAAAACTGCAATGCAGAGAATGAGCCATATGGTTTTTGCAACCAAGCAAGCTCTTCCAAACAAATACCTATCCTAAGAATTCTTCCAGCAAATGCTCTGAAATTTATATTTGACTGCATACCAGACAGCTGGTTATTTTTAATCAACGGATGTTAAAATCAATTATATGAACTTAGAGAATGAAACCGACCCATATTACCGCAGTCCTCTGGACAATTAATGTATGCAATTCACCTCAGTCAATTTCAATAGCCATTAAGCTGATGTTGATAGACTGGAGGCAGAGGATGCAAAATGAAAGATCTGGTTCTAACACGGAAGAGTACTGATAAGTTAATGCACTTTGCTTGAATAATGTGCAACATTACGCAAGACTCTTCCGTCTTAATGGAGCCTGGACAGAAGGGCCAGACCTAACAGGTCTTTGTCTAGTTAGTTAGTGGTTAAAGAAACACTCAGGGGAATGAAGCCATTTGTTTGCATGTCTGCATACAGAGGAAGTACACGGTCAGGAGAAAATTATCTGGTTACCATTATGATCATCATATGTACAGAGGTGAAAAGCCTCTCTGAAATGTCACCGCTCTTACTGGAAATCATTTTGCTTCCCTAAAACACCCTACGATGGCCTTCCCAGGCAAGGTTCTCCAAACTCGCCTTGGAATTTCAGTCTGAAGACATTAAAGTTAACTTCCAAGCCTTAAAATATATATATATTTTGACAGCGTATGAATATCTGTTTGCTAAACAAACAGAAACACATGGAAACAGAGCAGATAACCTCATTCAGCTCAGTCCCATATGGAACTGGGATGTGATGCACATGGGCTGGTACATTCATCCTTAAATTCAGCATCCTTCAGTGTCACTCTTGAGATGCACATTACATGGCTATCTGAATTCAATGTTCTTCCTGCAGGCGCAAAGTTGGCACCTAAGAGAAGTAACTTGTAGTTCAGCCTTTTTCCTACTGTGCTAGATTTCAGGTTGCAGAATAATGTTAATATAGGAAGGCGCTTAAAATGGTAACCCATAATATGCACATCCAAGTTATCTTCTTGTAAGCTTCACAGGAAGGAAATTAATCTGTGCCATATTAAATTGTCCAAGGGTACCAAGTAATCTTCAGAGTTGAGAAGGGTTTTTAATCTGCATCTCACACATTTTATCCACTGAAGCAAGGAGTATTGTGACTGCGTGATTTACAGTCATCCCTAAATTGCAAGAATGAGAAGCTCGCAGAAAAAATTAGTAACTTTAACTCACAACACTTAATACAGATTTTTTAACATGCCTACATCTTCTCTTGCCTCATATGAAATAACTGCTTCAGAGCAATTACTATTTGCATTTTGATATATATTTTTCCACCTTTCTGTTACCTATACCTGGTAAGGTATTAAATTGGGGTCACATCTTGAGATACAACCCTACTTTCAAGGTGATTTCTTTGAAAGCCAAGTTTACTGGCTGCACATCAAACGACAGAAATCAATGATGAGACTGAAAGGTCCTATGCTGTTCTTTGGGTATCAAAACAAACAGCACAACCCAATTTCACTTTGATAATGGAAATTCAGTACACTGATAGGTTGTCGCTAGGCTAGACACATATGAATGCTAACAGGCAGCCCCTTGACTAACAAGCACATCTAAGACCTGAGCAACTTAATACTTGTTCCGTAACTGCTTAGCTTATTGAGATTCATTTCAGTCTCCCAACTTTAAATTATTAGGGCTCCTATATTCAAGGGCAATTTAGTTCCAGAAGACTAGCTGTGTCAGAGCTACTTCAAATTATATCCCCACCCCTAATAGAGATAGCCAGCAAACACATTTTTGATGTTGTAACACTCAGTGCTGATGAGCATAATTGACTACTATTTGTGCCAGCTAGTGGCATGAAAAGTTTCTGCACCAGGCTGCCATGAACTTAAGTCAATTAAAATGTATTGGGGGCGGGGGGAAGGCTGGAAATAACAGAAACCCTCTTTACAGCAAAGAAATGGAGGTTATTTACACAATGCTATGAGAGAGTCTACACGCTGGCTGATGGCATGACCCACAATCAGGGGTGGTGGAAGACTCAGATGAGGACAAGGTTCAAGCTACATCCTCAGGGCTCAGGAGATCAGAAGATGAGCCCCTTCTACCTCCCCAGCCCTGCAGAAGCCAAAGACTAAAAAAATAAACGGAAGCCCTTTAACCAGTTGTCCAATTCCTCCAGTGAGACAGAGCCCACCATACTCCAGGCCTGCTCAGCCTACATGTTGCTTCAATTCACTATGAGATAAGCCACTTTTATTACAGCTCCCTGCAGAGACGATATCACTTGATATGGCTAACCTGATCCAAAACACCCACCCACCTCACTCACACACGAAAACAAAGATCACCACAGCCAATCACAAGCAAACAATCACACCCTAGGCCAATCCCAACCTCTCTCACCACCAAAGGAACACAAGTAACACTGACACCAAACTCTACATACATTAAGCATAATAGAAACATCACCACCCAACCCCCCTTTCCCTCCCCCCCACTCCCCCTTTCTTTTTCCTTTCTTTCTTTCTTTTTTTTTCTTCTTCTCCCCCTAATGCCTCAACAAATGAAATGGATTTGTAAAAACGTTACTTCGAAAAAAAATACACGAGGCATTACACTTCTGTAAAACAAGAAAATCCTTAATAATATTTAAAAAAAGATCACTTGAAGCAGTTTAAGCAGGAGGCCTCTTGGAGCTGTCCATGGTCCTATATGCTTTCTGCTTGATTTGGGGTTGTATTCGACTAACAGGGCCTAAGTTAGTCATGGCCATGAATTTTAATGGGTCTACTCTGAGCGAAGGTTAGTTGACTAAAATCCTTGGACTCTGGAGTAGGCACTGCCTGCCTTCACTGTGAATCTCATGCTCCCACAGAACAGGACAGCTGATTCTTTATGTTTCTGAAATGTGACAGAGCAATAAAATACATTAAAAAGAAAATAATCAGCTGTCTTGTCTGTGGGAGCATGAGATTTAATTTAAAAGGCAACAAACATCAACAATGTTAGCTAGTCTGTCATTCCTTTGAAAAAGTTAGAGCCGCTATTTAGAACCCATCTGTAATGCATATTAAAAACTCTAATACAATAGGTCTCTCTATCAGCAGTTCTCAACCTGTGGGTTCCCAGATGTTGTTGGACTACAACTCCCATCATCCCTGAGCTCTGGGCCTTGCTAGCTAGGGATGATGGGAGTTGTAGTCCAACAACATCTGGGGACCCACAGGTTGAGGACCGCTGCTAGCTGTTTCCATGGGTCTGGGGAGGTTGTCTCAACTGATTGTCGCTTCTCTTATGTGAGATGAATGGATGCCAGGTGTTCTAGAAGGATAAAGGACTTGTCTTGCCTTTGGCCACCGTGACTTGGCAGGTCAATTTCTCGGCCAGAGCCACAGGCCACACCTGAGCACACCATGAGCGTACTGACAGTCTTCTTGCAGAGCACCAACATTTAGCAATTTCTAAGCCAGCATCTCCCAACGAGATAAAGGTTGATTTGATTCATCTGTTTGTTCCTAGCAAGGCTAACAAAGGAGTTGGGTTTATCTTTATATTACAGATTAATCCCGTTTCTTCGAAGACTGCTGACCAAAAGCAATACACCTTGTCACACTGCCACCAAAGATATAGAAATGTTCCTGTGGAATTGCATCCCTCGCCCAGCAACACTGGGGGCTTAATCTACTTGGATTCAAATTGCAGTAAGATAAAATGCAATATATAATAAATAAAAGAAGCAATTGAAGATATAAATAGAGATTACATAACATCTAGCACAGTGCACTACAACTACTGGAACAGGAAGAAAAATCATTAAGTGGTCCACAAAAGACCTTCAGCAATTTTCAAGTGGTCCACAGGGGGGAAAGTTTGGGAACTGCTGCAATACATCCTAAGCCTTCCAGCTGGCAGATCTTGAGTATAGCCTATATATGTAAAACATCCTCATATTTCTCTCAGTTTTATGCTGGAGACTCCCTTCATCCAGTTTTGCTGTGAGTTATTACTCCTGCTGAATCTACCATAATACTGACAGCAAAATATGAAAGTACAAGTATATACTGTACCTTGTTTTACCTGTAAGGAACACACACCTGACAAAAGGCAATCTTCACATCCAGGGTAGGTTCACTGCAGTAGTATAAGAAATGGCGGCTCATAAATACCTGCAATTCAAAGAACAGCAGTATGAGTGCTGGGCATCTATTTCGCATGTGGAATTATGTAGATATTTAAACATTTATACATAAATTGCATCTGTTGGAGCTGCTTGGGCAGGCTTGGTAGTAAGATAAGCGCAGCCTCAGAAAATGAATGATATTCATTTGGGTACTATAATCTAGGATAGCTCAATCGGTGCGACATGCGACTCTTAATCTCGGGGTCGTGGGTTCGAGCCCCACATAACGTAAAAGATTCCTGCCTGGCCAAGGGTTGGACTAGATGAGCCTTAGGGTCCCTTCAACTCTCCAATTCTATGATTCTAATTTCCCCCCAAAAAAGTAGGTGATCTGTTTCCACAACAGCACGGACATGGAGCTGAGGTAGCAGCAATCTCTCTCTCTCTCTCTCTCTCTCTCTCTCTCACACACACACACACACACACATAGTTTATGAAAGGGAGCTGGGCAACCCTTGAAACTTGATATCTTGCGTTTTGCTCAAGGGAGACATTGATGACAACAGCTTATAGGTAAATCCACAAAGGACAAGGCTATTAATTGCAACTAGTCGTGATGGCCACCTGTCGTGGGTGTTTTAGCTGAGATTCCTGCACTGCAGGGGGTTGGACCAGATGGCCCTTGGGTCCCTAATAATAATAATAGCAATAGCAATAATAGTAACGGTAATAATAATAATAATTTATTATTTATACCCCGCCCATCTGGCTGGGTTTCCCCAGCCACTCTGGGCAGCTTCCAACAAAATGTCAGACGTTAAAAACTTCCCTAAACAGGGATGCCTTCAGATGTCTTCTGATAGTTGTTTATTTCTTTGAAATCTGATGGGAGAGCGTTCCACAGGGCAGGTGCCACTACCAAGAAGGCCCTCTGCCTGGTTCCCTGTGACCTCACTACTCACAATGATGGAACCACCAGAAGGCCTTTGACGCTGGACGTCAGTGTCCAGGCAGAATGATGGGGGTGGAGATGCTCCTTGAGGTATACTGAGCCGAGGTCATTTAGGGCTTCCAACTCTATGATTCTATGATGGCTACATTACCTCCAGTGTCAAATATGCCTCTGTATACCAGTGACCATGAGCAGGAGGGTGCTGCTTGTGGGCATTTCATGAGGATTGGGCAAATTTATTGAGGAAAAGGCTATCAACCACTTCTAGCCACAATGGCTAGGTTCTACCTCCAGTGTCAGAAGCACCATAAGAATAAAAGAAAATTGTTAGAAATTAATTTGGAGATGGTATTTAACAACAGTCAGATTAAATCAAATGAACAAGGAATATTCGGTGTTATGTTGGAGGGGATGCCAGGAAACAGGGAATTGTGTTCACATGTGCTGGGGGTGTATATATGTTTTTTAAAAAATGTTGGCATAGTGTGTTTAAGGAGATAACAGAAATCACTGGGTTAAAGCTGACCAAAAGTCCAGAGGTAGCATTACTATCAATTTATGATGAGTTGGAAGGTTCACAGGCTATGAAAGACTCGTTCACAAATTTATTGACAGCTGCACAAATTATTATAGCTAGGAAGTAGAAGGGGCAAGCTGAATAAAAAAAATGGAGGAATAGTATAAAAAGGTATGGGATATAGCTATCAATGATAAATTAACATGTTCCATTAAGGTAAGGTGGGGGAATATGCAGGAGAAATGATTTTGAGGAGATATGGAGGGTATTTGTAGAATTTGTACTGTTAAAACAGAAAGGGGTCAAACCATTGCAAGCGGTGCTGAAATTTTGGGAGGCTGGATAGTTACTGATGGTCTCAGTGGTGGGATGGACATTTTTGTTCTTATTTGTTTATGATTATGACTTTGTCGGCCTTCCCACAGGCATGTGGTCAGTCACTGTGAGAACAGGATGCTGGACTAGATAGGGCCACTCGCCAGATTGAGCAGGCTTGTCTAATATCCTTATGTTTTTATCTGGTTGGCCACTGTGAAAACAGAATGCCTGACTATACAGTGGGTGCTCGGGTTGCGAATGTGATCCGTGCAGGATGCAGATTGTGATTCGGTACTTCTGTGCATGCACAAAGTGTGATTTAGCGCTTCTGTGCATGCGCGACTGCCGAAACCCGGAAGTAACCCATTCTGGTACTTCCGGGTTTCAGCTGTCCACAACCCCAAAAAATGCAACCTGAAGCATCTGTAACCCGAGGTATGACTGTATAGGCCTTTGGTCTCCTCTAGCAGGGCTCTTATGTTCTTAGTGAAAAGTGCACACCTACAAGTTTGAACAGATTGCCTCCAAAGAAGAAGATACAGTGGTACCTTGGGTTAAGAACTTAATTCGTTCTGGAGGTCCGTTCTTAACCTGAAACTGTTCTTAACCTGAGGTACCACTTTAGCTAATGGGGCCTCCTGCTGCTGCCGTGCCACCGCCACATAATTTCTGTTCTCATCCTGAAGCAAAGTTCTTAACACGAGGTACTATTTCTGGGTTAGCGGAGTCTGTAACCTGAACTGTCTGTAAACTGAAGCATCTGTAACCCAAGGTACCACTGTACTCCCCAAAGCCTACCACACACAAAAAATTCACATTCAAAATGGCAGCCAAGCAGGTCTTGTAATGCCTTGTGATTTAATTTGTAAAAGGAAAGAAAAACCCACGTGACCCAAAACAACCACTGAGATCATCTGAGGGAGAATTAGTGGTTCCCCCAAGGACTGGAAACACAACTCATTTCAGCAAGGAGTCACACTCTGTGGAAAAACCTTCCTCCCTTCAGAAGCAGATACCGTACCATCCCTGATAAGTTTCAGATGACAGGTTAAAACCACCGTTTCAGGAGGTTTTTGCACAATGAATGTTCTTTTAATGTTCCTATCTCTGATGTTTTAGTCTATGTTTTTAATTTTTTATATTGGGGGGTTAGCTGCTTTGAGACATATAATGAAAAGTGGAGAATAAATGCCTTAAAATAAAGAAGTAAAATAAAATATTCCAAACAAGATGCCATGTTAGTTTGCTGCAGCAAATATGATACACTCTTTCTTGTTTTAACAAAAAATGTTGAGATTTTGTTTGTTTGTTATTATTAATTGAATTTACACCCCACCCTTCCTCTTGATGGAGCCCAGGGCAGAAAACAAATCTACAAAACAATTTTTAAAGCATTCTAAAAAGTTAACACATTCTGACAACAGTTAACAGCTAAAAACATTTGAGCAACCTGCAACACCTAACATTTGTGCAAAAGTTAAGTGGTTTCGACGCAAAATCCAAAACTGAATCCGCACTGATAATCTGCCATTTCTTTTAAAAATTATTTAGCTACCTTTCCATTTTCTACTCTAAAATAGAGCAGATTTGGAGAGCAAAGAAATAGTTTTAAAAAATAAATCCCGCCACAATTTCGTACAGTATGGATAACAAGTCCTGATCCTTCACGAAATGAACACTGAGGCTGCTCTCCAAAACATACTGGCTAGGAAGAAAGCCCCATTAAACCAAGTGGAGGGATTCATAGCTCAGCTGTAGAGCTCCTGCTTAACATGCAAAAGGTCAAAGGTTCGGTCCCTGGCAGCTCCAGTTAAAACGATCAGAAAGGAGATGATGAGCAAGACCTTTTTCTGCCTGAGATCCCAAAGAGATGCTACTAGTTGCAGTAAGCTAAACTGGGCAAAATGGGGCAAGAGTTACATTTGGAATTCCTACCTTATTCCTGACATTTTAATTCACAGTCTTGTACATTTTTATTTTTATTTTTATTTGGTAGAAGGCACTACACAAATATCCCGCTGCAAACATAACAATTTCTGGAGATCCATTGCACAGAAGCAACAGTATGCAAAAACTTCCCACCATGATCTCAGCCTAAAATGCGATCATGTTAAATTTTTAATGAATGAATTATAACCGCGTTCCGAAAAAGAAAGTATTTGACCTTTTCTCAGTGTTGTGTTGCAATAGCTCAGAACGCTGCCTCATCTCTCAGTGACTCATTACAGAAGGTTTCTATCCCATAGATGCTTTGATTATTTCCCCCTGCCTTGTTTTTGCTAAAAGCCTTTAATATTAATCATAATCTCACCGGTTTCTGGAAACCTAGCAGATAATTATGTCCTCTCACTACAGGGGCATTTAGCAACTAAGTGCCTTCAAGCAGCCCTAGGATGGTGTTATTGAAGCATTATTGTGATATCAAAAGGCTATGACTCACATGTAGGGTCTTTCAAAACATACTTGGCTTGGAGTATAGTAGAACAGGGAAGGTGAGGCAAGCGCGCGCGCCCCCCCCCCAATCCTCTTAATGACATGAATAAATTAGTGCACATCTCCCCATTGGTTTTTAAAGTAGCCCTTTAAATTACACTCGAAATAAGTGGACAAAACGAAAGTGAGCACGAGGTAATAATTCAAGTAGGTAAAACACCAATTTAATCCGAGCAGAAAAGGTTTATCTTCCTCCAGGAAACCTCACATTACCAGAAAGAGAAATCAAGGAAGCAAATTAAAGCTATTCTAACAAATCACATGTTATTCATCTTAAAACTCCTCAACCGGAGAAGGGAAATGAAATGGTAGAAGTCATGGAAAGGGGCAGGAAAGAGGAAGGGGGGAGGCCTGCAAGAAATTAAGCAGAAAACTTTCAATAGCTTTGCTTAGTAGCATTTGAATAAATGTAGGGAACAGAAGCTCCTGCGTTCTAATTTTAAACATCAGGAGACCTAAGCATTAAAACCGGAGTCACCCTGGAAATTCTTATCTAAAGCTGAATTAAGAGTGGACTTGAAGATTCCTCCTCAGATGAAAATGGAGAAGAGCCCAAAGAATTTTAATAAGGCATTTCAGGTTTCTCTAGAACAGGGCAGTCCAACTTTTCGTACCAGCGGGCTGCAGGAGTACTTTGACACAGTACCTGTGGGCTGCACACTGTCTTGTCACATGGAGGGTGGAGAGCAAGATCAAAATTTCACACACACACACCCCAGCATTCATGCTGCCCTCACAAAGATGGGTGAGGTGCCAGGATTGGAGAAGGAGGTGCAAGATTCAGGGTCTAAGAGCCCTCCCACTTCCTTCCCTGAGCTGGGAAAGCACTAACTAGGCTTTGGAAGGGAGGCTGGAGGACTCTAGGCCCCTGTCAGAGCCCTCACGCCTGTTTTTGAGGGCCGCCAAAAAAGGCCTCAAGGGCTGTATGGCTGTATCCTTGGGCCATACATTGGATCACCCTGCTCTAGAATGTTCCACACCCCTCTAAAAGTTCATGTATGGGCCAAATTTCATGAGCGGATTTAATGAGGAGTTTCAAGGAAGGATGAAAATATTTTGATATGGCCAGCTAAAAAAATGTTTTGCACATCCATTATTAAAACCAGAAATGAATGATCTGATTAAAATATGTATTATTTATATCTCAAGTGTATTGGTCCTCATTCTGTCACAGTATTGATATGTCACATATATTAATACATAAAGCCATTAAAATTACTAATAGAAACACAAATCAATAACCATCAGTGGCCCCAGAAATAAGATTTCCCCCCCCCATGGTGCCTCCCATTCTATGAATTCAAAAACAGATTTGCCAGGTTCATTTTATTGATCATGGACAGTCACGGAGAAGCTTTCATCTGGCCCCTGTGACAAAAACTGTCATCAGTTGACGTTCTGCCACCAGTCATGTATGCATTGTGTATATCTGGTTGGTTAACGAAAATTGCTGTGTTTTTTATTCATTTGTAAACATGCTTAGGATTATGCGGCAAGTATGTTTAGGGCTGCAACCCTAGCAACAGCTGACATTTACCGGTATTTTTAAAATTCACACACAGGAAGAGGAAGAAGTAAACTTATCTTTCACAGAGTTGCACTGCCATAGTATTTTCAAACTAAATCCAACCATCACAGAGGAGATCGTTCTGCCTCATGTTTGATTCTCCTACTCCTAGTTATTAGCACAGATCTTCCTTCTGCTCCTTTCAGATAAGGTTTTCCTCTTATTTCTATAGGACAAAGGCCTGGGTATCTACTAGTATTGTCAGTCAGTTCTTATTCCCTGCAGCACACTCTGCAGAGAGAACAATGATAAGCCAACCCTTACGTTGCAACTCCACCACACTCCCAATCTAAACACAGTGGGAGGTCATGATTCGGTATTGGAGGGAAATGTTTATCACTTCCAAGAAGCCATTGTATGACACCCATTGTAAACTACAGACTACAGGCTAAAAAGGCACGGATTTCTCACAAATCACCTGAACATTCGTTCCCGTTGCTCACAGTAAATTAGCTTCGTGATTAAAAAGTTGTGACGGAGGCTTTCATAATTTCATACGCCTACCTGCTGAGTAAATATGTATCATCATGAGAAAATAAAATAAATTGTAAAAAAAGAACCTGTTCTTTAGCTAGAGTCACCTGGAGGTATGTAATAAGCCACGTCAACAGCTGTGTTTATGTGTCTAAAATGACTTTAGCGTCATTTGCCTCCAAAGTATGGACATATCCCTAGAACTTTATGACAGATGGAAATGGAATGCATATTGACAAACCACGCAATTACAGATATGAGATACTTTCCCTTTAGGCATGCAGTGTTACAGAGAAGTAACCTTTATGCACTTTTTTCGGCAAATATCCCCCACCTCCAAATTAAAACATTATGCCAAATATTACTCTATCCTGTAAGTATCGATCTTGCTTGGTTCCATTGATCTTTAACTGGCAATCCAACATATGTGAGTCATACTTTAAAAAAAAAAATGTCTCATGGGCAACATGCTATTTCAGAGGAGCAGAAACTCTACAAGGGAGGAGACATGAGAAGGCCACTTCTAGTCCAACATCCTGGTCTCAAAATAGCTAATAAGATGATCCTGCAAAGCCTGCAAACTGGACATGAGCAAAACAGCAATTTGCCCAATGGTGGCTCCCTGCAACTGGGACTGTACTCATAGGCATACTTTTCTGACAGTGGAGCTTTTCTGACAGTGGAGGTAGCCATTGTGGCTGGTAGCCTTGCTAATCCTCTTTTAAAGCCAACCAAGTTGGCAGCCATCAATGCCTCCTGGGGGAGCAAGTTCCATTGTTTAACTGTGTGCTGAATGAGTAAGTTATTTTCTTTTACCTATCCTGAATCATCCAATATTCAGCTTTATTAAATTACCATGATTTCTAGTATTATGACAGAGAAATAATCCCAGCCCCACCCCGCTATTCTCTTTCTCCATGCTCTGGACCAATGTAGACCAGGCCTAGGACTGCTTGGGAAACAATTACAGAGGAGTCCCTTCTCCATAGAAGGTTGGGCTAACTTCCAACCAGCGTAACTTTTATCCCTTCTATCAATAGCTGAGGATACTTCTCACTGTGCATTGCTAGATGCTAATAGGCCATCCAGTTTGGGTGCCCCCTCTTAACTGGGAACACACACCCTCTACCATGATGCCATACTAGGGGGCAACAGAAGGACATTATCAGGAGACCAGCCAAAGATGTTGCAGTGCATGCCTTAAAGCCTCCCTTCACTGATGGTTGGTTTCCTAAACTACTAGCTTTTGTATGATTAAGAGCTCAGAGAACAGCTAACTTTCATTGAAGATGTTGCAGGATGCTTTGCTGCTGGCCTTGGTCCTGAACCCAGCAATCCATAGTTGGGTGTTCTTAGACCCATTCTCTGCTTCTGCCCACTTATTACAGCTACCAACTCATTAAGGTAAAAGGAAAAGGACCCCTGGACAGTTAAGTACAGTCAAAGGCAACTATCTACATGCTGACTGTGCCTAGTAGATGACAACTGTACACAACACAAGCTAACTACCTTGAAATCCACCAGCAAATACCCCTCCTCATGAACTCTGAGGCTAAGCAATTATCAGTCCAATAACTACAGTGGGATTTTGGGACTAAGAATGGAATGGGTCTTTTGTCATATCATGCATTCAGATCTGACTCATTCTGCTGCCAGTTTCCTTTGGCCTTGAACAACCATTCAGTTTGGAGAACTCCTAAGGCTTAAAAGCCTCATTGCTTGTTCCAGCTGCACTGCAATATTTTGTGAAACGATCTTGAGAATAATTATTTGCTGAGTAGTCACAGGTAACTTGGTAACTTAAGGAGGTTTCCAGTACATTGGTGATATAATGCAGCAGAACAAATAGATTAAGGGGTGGAATCCAGAGCTATTAGTGGTTGTTCTGCAACATTGACTTCAATGGGATAGAGAACTGCACCTTAAGTATTGCTTAATGAGGGGCTGGAATTGGACTCTTTTTGCAGGAAATGGGCGTGTGCATACTTATCTCAAGGTCAGCTACTATTTTTTTGGTACAAAGTAGATAATTCATAAGGTGCCACGTGGACGCCACAAATGCAGGCTTCAACAAGAGCTGGGGGCTGGACTGAATAACTATTTAGCATGGCCACCAAGGTCAATCATCAAATTCTGTTTTACCGACAGGGAATCTCTTTCCCATCTGTGGATAGCAGAAGGTAGACAGATAGATATACAGAGGAACATTTTTATCCCAAACTCAAAGCAAGGAACATACCATTCTCCAATTCCATCCTCACAACAAACATATGAG